TAGGGATCCAAAAATGGACCATAATTTTGACAACCACCCATGTGAGTTATCGGACAGCATGTCCGAAAAAAATCATAGAAAAACAACCACGTTAGCATCCACAACACATCAATAGCCCAGAGCCACGCTGCGCGATTGCTGGTCCAAACCCTGAGCATGCAGAAAGTCATGAGGTGATCTGCAACAATTGCAAAAAGGAAGCAGAGGCCTATTGTGTCCGCTCCCCGCTGTTTTGCGGCAGTTACTTGCATCTTCTGCTTTGGCTTTCAGCAGTCTCCCTGGCAGCGGAAACTGCAGCAAAGAATTGATGCCGACCGATTCAGAAGTTTCCAGATCCTGCAAGTGCTCAAGGTCGACTGCAAGGTGGTGCTCTGCAAGTTCTGTGCGACGCTGCTGCATCACCCAGACACTAAGGCTCCACAACAACTGAGCCTTCCGAAGTCTGCAAGTCTTGCGTTGGATATCTGGCATCAAGGATGCTCAGTTGGACACATTTGGACAGTTTTCGCAACTTCATGTTCAGAAAAAAAAGGGGTGTGTTGGCGAAGTGTCGTATGAAGTCTACGGCTCTGGAATCCCCACCTTGCGTGCTAAGCAAGACAGTCTCATCAGTTTCGTTGAGTAGACTGCTCTCAGCCTCCAATTCATGGGCTTCTCCTCTGCAATTTCTTCCCTCCTCCTTTGGCCAGTTTGAGAAGCACAGCTTGGAAGACATCGTCAAGCCGGAGGATGGAGCAGGGCCCTGAGCCCACAATGTCAGGCGTCCGACAAGTTCGAGTCGCAGGGAGTGTCCGGAAATCGGCTGGCCCCGCTTTGCGGCCTTAATGACAAGAATTCAATCAAACAGGCCTTGTGGGGCGCCCATTTTTGGGAAACTCCCATTTGAAACCTCGATACTTAAAACAACAGGCGTTTCCAGCAACGTAGAGCAAGGTCGAATGCTAAACAACGGTCTGCTAATTTCATCTCGCCTGGGCGAGGAAGCATGCTCCTGCCAGCTCCCTAGGCATGTAGGCGACTTGCTTGTGAGATCCAAGCTGCGTTGAGGTCATGCCGGAGGTGAAGATCATTAGCTTGTCCCTTAGTCTGTACTGCACAGGCGAGATGATATGGTGGAAGTAGCTCTGCCTCTCAGACGCCAAAACGAGCAACCAGCGCTATATCTCCTTACTTGGGGCATGACAGTAGAAGGTGGCTTTGTTAAGAACAGCCTTCTGTGTTTGGTGTCGCCATGATCCACACTGACGGCAAGATAGGAGGTAAGTTGCTATATGGGTTGGCAGTCGATGGGCGTCTGGCTACAAAGCGTCAGTTAATGGTTCCCCCGCGGGCACGTCCCTTTACCCCGAGACACGGCGGAGGCCCCATTCTGTTGGACCTGGTCTTGTTCGCCTCGGCCTGCTTCCTTTTCTCTGGCGCAGGCCGTGCTATAGATTCTCAAGTTGACATGGCTCAAGTTGCGCTAGGGTAAGCATCTGAGTATACATAATCTGAGATTTCTGGTCCGGGCATTGCATCTGACCAGTCAATCCACATTCTCTTTCCTTGGGCTTCGTGCGCAGGCATCAGCTCTGAGTACTTCAACGGTACCAGTTATTGCCCGGGTTTGACTCGGCTTAGGTGGGGGCCACAGCACACCGAGTCTGAGCATGTTCGGGAATTGTCAAATGATGTTTAGCGGACCAGTGGTTAGTCCCGAAGACAAGTCACTTCTTGTGTCAAAGTCAGGCTGAGCCAGTTGCCACCGAAAAATACTAAGAGCCTTACTGGAGGCACGTTCTTTTAAGAGCAGGGCGCGTTCTTTTGAGTAACATGCGCGTGAGCGTTGAATCCCTGACAAGCCTGAGCTTTTGGGCTATGACCTGAGGGGTTGGTTGGTGTGGGTGGACGCCAACGTGTTCTTCTACTGGAAGGCAGTTGGTTGACAAAATCCTGAACCTGTGTCTTCTTCGAGAAAGTCGTTGATTGGAAATATTTAGCTGGACTCGAACTTGAAAATGTATTGCTGCAAATGTGGGTTGGGTTCATTGCCTCCCTTGGCCTTCGCAGAATGAGCTGGCGCAGTACTGCGACTGGGAAGACTCCTACTGGAGGCTGTGCGGTAGGGGTTTGGACATACAAGGGCACCAGGATTGCTTCACATGTTAGAGTACTCTGGGGTGGCACTTTTTCGGTCACATTGCCCTGCTGAAGTTGCCTCCCAAGCCACATGAGGCCCCTCGGGCACCATGAGTTGGTTCCGCTTGCCTCTTGCGTTTTATCATGGGTTGCCTGCCACGGATGATCCATGACGGGTTCACGTCATCCCCGCGATGGGTGCAACCAAGATGCCGAGTGGGGTGAACGAAGTCATCTCGTTGCATTGGCTTGCTTGCTTTGCCAGTTGTTTGCCCGGCATAATTCGTAGTGTCTAGCTGAAGTGATGGTCCTATGACGGTCTCTGGCGAAGGCTGTTTTGCGTAGGCCGGCCTTGTCATTGAGCAATCCGCGTCATTTAAAGCCGCAGGTTCTTCATGGACGCTTGGATACGAAGCGTGCTGACCAACACGGACTGCCAGGGTGAAGTGATTAAGGGCAAGCATCTCAAGGTATGCCAGTCTGGTTATGTCTCAAAGTCGGAGGTTACAGATGTGGCACTTGAAGCCCGGAAATCCTTACCAAAAGGATCGAGAAATCGTGCCCATGATTTTGGTGTGGCCTTAACAAGTGAAATTGCCATTTTTTGGGCTCGTAGCACAAAGGTCGGAACCTTGATTCAGGCAAACAAACCACCACATGGCCTGTTGGAGCGTTTTTCAGGGAGGGATTTGGTAGTGTCCCAAAATATTGGGGACCCCAAAATGCACCCCAATATACTGTAATCCTCACTGTGGGACTCCCAACATGGTATTCCTAATTTTGGGAGACCCAAATCCCCACAAATCCTGATAAACCCCTATTTAAACCTACATATGCTCTGTATATCCCCTGCAACGCCTTGAAGGGTACCCCCAATTTGGGTAACCCCCAGTTTCACGGCAGGACAGTTGGATTCTGCTGATCGCTTCCTTCATCAAGGCTGCAGCCCCAGAGAGTGCGACCACGCCCTGCTCCAGGAAAGGGTTTTAGGGTTTTAGGGTTTTTAGGGTTTTTAGGGTTTTAGGGTTCAGGGTTTTAGGGTTTTAGGGTTTTAGGGTTTTAGGGCTTTTAGGGTGTTAGGGTTCAGGGTTTTAGGGTTTTAGGGTTTAGGGTTTTAGGGTGTTAGGTTTAGGGTTAAAGGGTTTAGGGTTTATTGGGGTAGTATCAGGGTTGTATTGGGCCGTATTGAGATAATGGAAAAGAACATGGATACTATAGTGCATTAGGGACTCGGATTAGGGGTTTAGGGTTGGGTTTAGGGTCCCAAACGCCTAAGTAATGGGATTTAGACCCTGCACACAGAAATCTGAATGGATTCTGGTACCTTAAGCCCTGTTAATGGGATTCTTGGACATTTAGGGGCATAGGATGCCTCGAAGATCATCTTTCAGCTGCTGGCCTCATGGTGTGGTATTCAGTCGGTGACCACCTGCCACCATGTAGCAGCAAAGAAGCGTCTGCAAGCATCTGGAAAGCAATAAAGGTCGGATTGAAGTGCCAAGAACGCATCCACTGGAAAGGCACTTCTATCGTAAGCCCTGGGCCGGAACCTTCCAAGCCTTTTCTTCTGAAAGCACGCGAACGTACCTCCAGAGCTTCGATAGCCACCCAAGGCCTTGACCTTCGAGGAGCTGGGTCCTCAAGATGACTTCCCGGGTCCTTTTGCAGTATGCTGAACTCAAGGTGTCGTCAGTGAAGGTGGAAGCATTTTGGCAGATTCGATCCGAGCTCTCTACGGCGATGTATGGAAGGAGGAGTTGGAACTCTATGTGATGCATTGCAGGTTCATGCGGATCATCATTACCCCTGTAGCTGCACACGTCTACGCCGTGGTGCGGGGCCTGGGTGCAATGCATGAATATGAGCAGTCAGTAGGTTGCGGGCTTTAGCCGGGGTATGCAGCAAGTGCGGAGCACTCTGCTGAGCTAATCGTCCAAGCAAAGATTGCAGGCAGCTGGCTACTTGAATCCCGTCCCGTCAATGCTATGTGAGCCCTGGCAGCTCCGACTTGCCGCTACACCGCTCTCGCTCTATTGCAGCTCCATCCCCCTGTCTCATCCTCTCCCTCTTGCTCCCCCTCTTTCTCTCTCTCTCTATACCTCCTATCTTTCTACCATCCTATCTTTCTACCCCCCTCTCGCCATCCCCTATTGACAGCATTGCCGCTGAGTTGGCTTACTTCGTCCGAAGTGTGGAGTCGGGCTCTCTGCTGCGGTCAGGAAAGCAGCCATGCTTTGACAAGAAAGAGTGCTTGGGTGCCTGCAAAGATTGGCGGCTGAAGCACGACAGTATTGCGCGATGCTGCTGTCCGCTGCATACTTTGTTGACGAGAACCTTAGATTTGATGCTCTGATTCCTCTGCACCATTCAAGCACGGCTGCCCTTAGTGATTTTGCCCTTCTATGCCAGAGAAGTTGTGTGACTAAGGTTCACGCTGCATAAGATCCTCTACGAACGGCTAGAAGGTTCTGCAACAGAGGGCTTTCATGTGCAGTTCTGCTGATGCAGTTGTCCCGGAGCGTCTTCTTTCCGTAGCATTGGCCGACCGTCTCTGTTGCATGTGTTTGCCATGCTGCTTTCATGACGCCATGGGTTCTTGAAGTACATGATACCGTCACAGCTCCTGGCAAGGATCCGATCACACTGTCACAAAGGTTTTGCAGGCCTTATCCAAGGCTTGCTGCTGAGTTGATACAGGAGCCCCTGCACTTTAGACAATTTCTTGGGGTCGAGACTGTTCACAGACCTGCACAGCTTTCCTTAAGTGTCCTGTAAGCGCAGGCTGTCTGAGAGCAAGAGAGAAGGTGTTCTTGCACGGGCTTTGTGTTACGTGAGCTGACCATGACTGCTCAACACCTGTAGACACGTACCCCTTTGGCTCACAAGAACTACGTCTCATATCATGTCGTAATGTTGTGCAGATCGGAAGGTGGTTCAGCAGATCAAATTCGCTCAGAAGCTGGGCATCACAGATACCACAGTCAAGCTGCCGGCACCTTAGTTTTGGCAACTTTGACTTCTTGAACAAGTTGTGGAGCACTACCACCCTTCATAACAAATCAGTGGCAGCAACATTGTTTCAGGTACCAACCGGCTCCCAAAGATAGTTTTGTTGGCATATGCTGCCAGGAATGTATAGCAGGAGGCTCGCGAAAAAGCAAGAAAGCGATGCTTCCGAGTCACATGCCTCATATCTTATTGCACAACCTCCTGTGCCCAGGATTCCTGGCATAGTTCCGTACTGCTCCGCCACTGCTCGAGCCACGACCACACGAATCTGCCGCGGCCGCCACCACCATTGGCAGAATCACTGCTGCTGCTGCTGCTGCCGTCGTTCTTGTTGTTGTTTATGTCTAGGATCGGCTACTCTTTCTGTACAGGGCACAGCTAGAATTTTGATTCAATAGAATTCAACATCTCTTCATGGCTATCATTCTTGCCCACTTGTTGTTATTCGGCCCAGGGCCCCGCCGACTCATCGGAGAAAAAGACCAGCAGAGGATTGGGCTGGGGACTCAGCGGCTAGCATTGTTGCATTTCTAAGCTAACTTAGGCAGCGCAAGGAGCTTCTGTCTGGCATACCATGTTGGAGGGTTTGCACATTCAAAAAAGGACATGAGCAGGGTTGAAAGCCACAGTTGGCTTTCCGAAGCGGAAGCCCCCAGTTTGGGGGATCCTTGTTGCCTCCCAAATCGTGCAACAGCAGGCACCGAAGATAGAGGATTTTCCACTAGGATGAGTTCTAAAACTCTTTGGACCTCCGTAGTTCAGGTTTTTGCTGGGGGCGTGGCGGTGTTGCGATGAGAGCTGCGCACTAGATTCACTTGGTTGGTACAGAGACTTCCGGGAGATTTTTGCCCTTGTTGCTGAAGTGGTAAGGGAGCAAGCCGATCCTTGCACTGAGCTTTCAGCTCAGGGGGAATACCTTGTCTACATGTGGGGGCGAAGATTTCGGCTCCTCGAGTTTCACAAGCCAGGGCCTCAAAAGGAGTGTCCGTCTCTCCCGTGGATTGGAACCCTGGACCCCTAAAACCCTCAGTCCTATGTGATCCCTATATAGCCTCATATATCCCTCTGTAACCCCTACATGCTATTGCAAAATTCCAGCCTTAAGTCGGACGTCGGGTGCAAATGCCATCCAATCTCAGGGCGCAGGCGTATTCAGCGTGTGGTGCCCTGCTGAAGTACTCGCTTTATGCTTGGCGCTGAGGAACTCACAGCCGCTTTGAAGTGTGATGCTGCAGCCCTTTGATTGTTAGGCTGCTCTGTTCCTCCGCATTTTCTGCATCATCTTCGGCAGCTGTCCCAGCAATTAGTCTGCATCTCCGTGTTGACAGGACAGCCGCTAAATTTGGTGTACCGCAGCGCTTTGGCAACCTGCCATGTGGTCTAACCTCAATCGGAGCAACCGCAAACTAAGTTGGTGTTACGAAGGCTGAAGATCTTGTTGCAGGACATCACTCTTTTCTCGCAAATTAAGACCAACTGTCCTGGTTTGCCAAGAAAATAGATGTAATAGAACAGACCAGTTTGATATTCCTAAGATGGTTCACACATGCTGAAGCCTAGTCGTTGGCCCAAATCACTTCAGAAGTGGAGGTGGAATGATGATGATGATGATGATGATGATGATGCTGGTGGTGGTGGTGGTGGTGGTGGTGGTCGTGGTCGTGGTAAGATGAGTAGGGGAGAAGGCGAATCAAGACGAAGAGGCGCAGATGTAGCCGGAACAGGAGGTGAGATGGTAACACTGGAAAGAGCAGCGTCAGTATCAACCACAAGAAAACCAATGACCTGGCATCAGCAAGGCGGCAAGACGCTGCTGACCATTGCCTACATTTTGGGATTTGGTGGTCGGGCAGTGGGGACCCAAGCCAATGACGAGTGCTTTTCAGCTATGAGCTGACCTGCAGCTTCAGAGAGGAGGATCATAACGTAAAGCTACAAGAGCGCAAACCTGAGCAGAGCCTTTATTTCACATTAATGTTTTGTAATTCTGCCAGTCCAGGGCTTGCAGGAATCGCGTGAAGTCAATGCCCCCCCATAGGCGGCCTGTGGTGCTAGGGCTTGGGTCAGCATGCCAAGCCTAGGAGCAGCACCAAGCATGGTTCACCCAGATGACAGGCTCCGGCGCTCTTGTCTGCAACATGTTGCCATGTGCCAGGCATGCGTTGTGTGATGCTCTGCCAGGTGCCACCATCAATGATGGAAGTGCACGACCCCCAGACTCTCGTGGCTTTCATTTGGCCTTTGCCAGCTAGGCCGCAAAGTCTTTCTCATCCCATTAGTTAGCTTGTAACAAGCAGCTGAAAAGGATGGGAAGGTCGGTGGTTCTGCAACGTAAGCCGTACAGAACTCACATCTACCCAGGGTCCAGCTTGGAGCAGCCTCAGCCACGGATCCTTACGGTACATGTGCTACTCCAGCCCGGCATGAGGTATATAGTTTGCTTGTGCCATAGTTCAGAATTTCTCATGTGGCTGTCTGAGGCCAACTACTATTGGACGGACCGGATCGTGTCTGTGATAGTGCCGCAGGCGCCAAGTGCGGCACAAGCAATCGTGACGATGATGGTAGTGGCTTGTCCACCTTCACAGGACGTTGAAGGATGTTGGTATCTATCGGTATCGGGATGCGGCATTACTTTTAGACAAGGCATTCTGGGAGCTGTAAGGGCTAGTGATGTGGTGTGTGTTCTTGAACTGAAGTGCCCGCTCCCAGGTCCAGATAGACTTGGTCTTTTTGGGGCCTATGGGAGTGAAGCTTCTGTATCAGTAGAGCACGCGCTATAGCGGGCAGCTGCCTTGATGACCACAAAAGTGGAGGTGCTGATGAGTGTCCCTCTCTTCCGCGACTTCATGTCTGAGGTGCGTGCAGTGATGAGTAGACTTGTTTTAGAAACATTGCAGTCACAGGGGTGTTTCGACATTTTGGTTTCCCTTTTGCAGTCTGTGTTTTGTACCGTGTTTAGGAAAACCTTACGTGGACATGCTCTAGGGGTCACATCCCCAGTGCTTAATTTTAGCGGTGGAAGCACATCCGTACTCGGTCGACCTTTCCTGAGTCTGTTCAGGTTGCCTACTGGAGATCAGTAGGAAGTAAGGGACTTCACAGGGTTTAGGATTAGGGGTAGGGAATACGGGAATATGTTAAGACCAGAGGCACCTAGCAGTCTCCTTGCAGAGTTGGTGACGCACTGGTTTCAATCCTAAGTGGAACTGTGAAATTCTGGCACCCTTACTTTCCTGACTGGAGCACGAAGCCTCTGCCTCACGCAAGCATGCTGAGACTGCCCTTGGCCTGGCACGCACCGTATGGGGCTTTTGCCCGGTGGTGCTCAAGCCGGCTGCCTCAGGGGAGTGGATGTGCTTTTTTGGGGAATGTAGGTGTCTATGCAGGTGTCCAAGGCAGTGCGTGGGTGGTCTTCAGTTGCAGCGTGGGGGAATTGAGGATCTAGCATCTGGAGTCTAGAGCTCTTCTTTGTTCCTTGAGGGGGTGTTTTCTGATCAGGCATTGCGGTGCCTCACCGCTGGCAAGGAATGCATGACACACAGTTAGGACATGGTTTTGCAGTATGCTGGGGTGAGGCTTTTTTGGCTTAGCTTCCATTTCGGGTAAGCAAGAAGTGCAAATCTTGGCCACCATGGGATGTGTTTTCAGTTTTTGCGTAGACGGCGTACAGAAGATGTGAGCACTGGCAGCTGCTTTTTTCTTCTGCCAACGCTGCCTGACAAAAACTAAGTCGAATTGAGATGGACTAGACCAAACTGCTTTGCATGATCAGATGAGGTTGTGGCCTGTTTGGCTTCTCCTGATCAAGCGCTGGGGGCCTCTCCGGCACGTGTGGGGCTGGGCCCTCTGAGACTTTTGAAGCATTTTTAGCCAGGTGGAGCCGGCTCATGAAGAAGCAGCAGACCGAGTTCGCTGCAAAATGGAAGTCCGAGCACTGCAAGGACGGGGCCAAGAGCCACCTTGTTCTTTGCGACAGGCAAACAGCTCCGCTTGTGCTAGACCTCTGCAAGTCTACGTGACATTAGGTGGCGGTTGCACAAACCTGTTCCCTTTCTGCAGGCGATCTGGGGCGATATGAGCCGCGAGAACCCTTGCGGCGGAACATTATACAAAGAGGCTGACCTGCATTTTGGCAAGTTTGCTCGAGGCAGCAGAGCATATCAGGTTAGTCCTGTACAGCTCCATTGCCTCTCTCTACACCCCTGTCCCAACCGCGCAGTTGCACTTCTCGCCGGAGCCGGCGAAATTGCCGCGCCTTGGCAGGCGAACTGAAGAGGTTCAGGTGCGGGTTCTGTCATGAAGGGAAGTTCTGCATAGGCTACTTGTTGGGAGTGGTATGGAGTCTTGCAGATCTCGGATGCGAGGAAGGCTTAGGGTTTGGAGGATGTTGTCCTATGCAGCCCTGATTTATGTGCTTTTTGCAGCCACTTTTTGTTCTATACTCAAGTCATGGCTTTGCCCGAGGGTCGTTCAACCTGTCAGGAACGGCAAGCCTGCATTTCGACGGTCAGTGACCACCCTCGGCTGAGCCAGGGTACCCTTCTTGACCGCCACGAGAACCCCATGGCCGTTTGCCGGAGCGATTTTGTGAAGCCTTGAAGCCGGGTAATATGTGATGTTACTGTATGTCTATGTGTTGTACCTCGCACACCTTGAATCATCATCGTATCGGACTCCCCAGATGCTTGATCATTGATATTTCTTGCCAATAAAGATACCCGTTTTGCACTGTGCAAGCTGAGCGGCAAAGTTTGCCCACGCACTGAGAGCGTCTCAGTCCTGTTCTTGCAGCAGGCTGCAGCCTGGCTGCTCAATGTTTCAGTTTGACCGTGAAGCTTGCTCAAATCCAGCTCTGGTGTTCATCAACTATCACAACTGGAGCTCTGATGTCCGATTTGAGCAAACTTGAAACGTGGGATTTTGAGAAATGCTATCACAGCTACGGATTCGTGCGCCAGGGAGGTGATACGGTGGCCAAGTGCAAAGACATGAGCATGTACGCACACCAGTGATCGCAAGGTGATAATAGTCCTAGTAAGTCTTACTAAAATGACGAGGAGCATGTTCATCACCCTTGGCGCTTTCCAGTTCGCAATTTGTGAATTGCCTGCTCCGTTCTCAGGCATAAGCCCGGTCGACGGTTAGTTTTGAGGGATGTTCCTGCTCGACTCAAGACTTACTGAGCCGCGGAATTGCAGAATGGGCGACACGATCTGATGCTTCGAAATGTTGACTTCGCGCTGGCCTTGTTCGACGCCCATTCCTTTGCGCTGCATCTGCAAAACTTGCTCTCCAGGCTGTCAGTACAAGGCAAGTGAGTGTAGTTTGTTTTGCCCCCCAAAAGGCCCCCATCATTTGCGGCCTCAAATTGAAAGCTGCAGCCCAGGCTTGAATCAGGGTGGGGGAGCCTCTTCCAACACTTGCAGATGTGGATTTGTGGCTACGAGATTTGTGCGCGAGCTTTGTACAAAGGTATTGGGGGTGTTGCAATAGCAATTCGTCCGGCATATACAAAGCGCTGCGAAGCGAAAAAAACTCCTGCTACAAGAGGCGCTGCTCGGCTTGCTTGGCTTCTTTTATATCATATATATATAGATGTATCTATTGTTATATCGGGGTTATACATAGGATTATATAGGGATAATGGAAAGGACATGGAAACTACTGTATTATAATGGGGGTCATACTCGGGTTAGATTGGGATAATAGAAAATAAGATGGAAATTATTTACTTCGAGCATCCACACCCTAAAGCCGTTATTGCACAAGAAAGGTAATGGGAGGATTGGGGGCGAGAACATTACAGAGTGTGGTGTGACAATGACACTTT